AATCTCAACAAACAACAAGAACTTCGATCCAACAGATTTTAGTATGTACTTCTGGAGGGATCTGAAAGGATCATTTTAAAACAAATTTGAGAGAAAATTGAATGGTGAATTGAAAGAGAAACCCATAGAAAGCCTAGTTGGGTTCTAAAAATGATGGAAAAAAACACTCAATTTTCATATATAGATTTCGTAGATATTCGGGTCTTATATGAAAAAGTTTTTTTTTAGAGTTATTATGGATTAGCAAGATAAGAACATATTTAGAAAATTTGGTAGATTTTCTTAAAGAAGTGAGGGAGAAATAAAAAATTTCTCTCATAATTTGTAAACAAAAAAGAAAAGAAAAAAAGAGGCAACTCTTTGATCTCGCAACAGCATTTCAGGACACATTTATATAAAATTGGTCGTAACTTGGTCTAGGAAGTACAAAAAAGATCGTACTTTCGATATCCTGGGTTGATAATCCAGAAAAATAGATAGATCGAAAAAGATGCTGCACACATAATTAGAGTTGGGTGGACGAAGTGGAGATGTGCAACTGGAATTTTATATGATCACCACATACTAATGAGGCTGAAAGGCAAATTCTATAGGACAACGGTGAGCTTTGCTCTATAGGGCGGAATGTTGGGTGGACAAAAAACAATATACCTATGAAATGAGTATAGCGGAGATAAATATGTTGAGATGGATGAGTGACAAGACAAGAAAGGATAGAATTCACAATAAATCTATTAGAGAGAATTTAGACATGACACCAATAGACGATAAAATAAGAGAGAGCATACTTAAATGGGCTGGCCATGTGTGGCACTAACCAAGTACAATACCTATTAGGAGGCGCGAATTAGTTCAAGTGGAGGACTTAAAAGGGCAAGGGGTTGACCCTAAAGGACGTGTTTGGAAGTAGTTTGAAAAATATATGAGGACTAATGACCTCATTGAGAATATAGTTTTTAATAAAGCAAAATGGAGAACCAGGATTCATATAGCAGACCACAATTAATTGAAATAAAACTAAAATGATGGTGATGATGAACTTGGTCCAACTGGCCAAACTGGTGACTCGAACCCTATGAGCACTAAACTTGTATTTCTTGAGAATTGGTCGGTGGTTAACCGATTGAACTAGTTTGACCACCGGTTTTACTAGTTTTCTCGGATGAACCAGCCCAATTTTTCCTCCTACCTCTCTTGTTATTTTTGGCTTTATTTTTGTTTTATATAATTTTTCTATTTTTTCTATTTTAAGATAGAATAATTTCTATTTTATATATACTTTTCTCTCTAAAATTTAAAATATAATTTTTCTATCTTTTCTATTTTGGCCTTATAAAATTTTTCTATCTTTTCTATTTTAACCAGCCCTAAATCTATTCAAAAAATTTAATCCAAAAGATCTCAAAATTTTGGCAATAATTATCGCTTAAATGGTTAAGAGGAAAAATTTCTTACTTTTTTTGCTTCATTTTTCTTTGCGACAAAAAAAATTCTTTCCTGTCTTTAAAACCACTTATGTTTTTCTCTTTTCAGGGGGACAAAGGCATCCCAAATTCTTCTTGACTTACGCATTTCAATTTTATAGATAATGTTCTAAGAGGATATCTTAATTTTGGTGTTCGAATAATGCGGTTTACTAATAAAATCATCCAATATTTAAGTTTTCAATGGCGTTACCTTACATTTTTCTTATTCTTATTGAAAATTTCAAATTTAGTCACATTCAAAGTATTTAGCCCACTAGTACCCGATTTGTTGAACCAGTGTTTTTTACCAGATAGTATATCAAAATTTGACCCCTTCTCAGTAAGGATCGGATTCTTATTCAACCCGTCCGAACCTTGGCAATTCTTGAGCCACATAAGTCTATACTCAATAGAAGGTATATGCCATGGAACTAGAAATCGACTCATTTCCATACGGGATTGGTGATTTTTCAAACCCTACTTTCATCATATACATTATTCCTAAACACATTAATCAAGATAAAAGACATTCTTACTACTCTCATAACTAACTTAATCCATTGGGACTGTATGCCATAAAACCACTTATCATTAATCAAGATAGAAGACATTCCTACTACTCTCATAACTTACTTAATCTATTGGGACTGTAAACTACGAGACCACTTCTCTGTTACGAGGAGCTCACAATTACTTCTCATCGGTAGATGTCAAATTAAATTGCTCCTTGTAATGTTGTGATATTTGAGAAATTCCATTTCTTTTTTTTTAAAAAAAAAACTTTGAATCTAGTCAATACCACTTTTACAACCACTTTATTGAAAATATGTCGAGCAAATATGAATGTAACATCCTTGTACCAAAAGAAACAAAATTGAATGGTCAATTTTTATATCCATTACTTTTTACAAAAAATGACAAAAGTCCCCCTTGATTAAAGTTTTTTTACATTACTTCATTTTCAACTTTCATTTCTCTATTGATCAAGGGTTGCAAAACCTATCTTACTACATAAAATTTCACTCTATTATATCTTCTAACCCCCTAAACATATTTTATTTATTTTTTACTAATTCTTTTGACCCAAACAAAAGTATAAAAGATGATTTTTTTTCTAAACCTCTCTCTCTATCTACCACCACGCACCCCCAGTGCCGTGCCAAAACCTCCTCCTAAGCCTCCACCACGATGCTTAAATAGTGGGCCAAATGGACCATGCTTGTGGACAGCAAGAAGTGCTTCTCATCGATAAACCCACCACCAAAACCCCACCAAAAAGAAGCTTCCCTTTTATTGATGCAGCAAACACATTTGGGATCTATGGAAGAACCCGCCAAGCCCTAACACTTCTGTGGAAGCTTCCCTCACGCATTTGGGATCTGTGTAAGATTTGTGGAAGAACCCAAACAGAAGCTTCCCCTTTATTGAAGCCATTGGCAGTGGACGAACCCGTCTTTGCCGACTTCAACAGCAAACACATTACTCACCACCACCAAAACCACAGTTGAAACGGCACCACCACACCTCATCTCTCTCTCTATGAGAATTCAAACTACATCCAAGATTTCAAGTGATAAGAGAAAAAAAAAGTATTGCAATATTTATAGAGAGAGAAAGAGAGAGAAAGCGGGAACTCCGTCTGTTCATAAAACCAGTGGGTGTTCAGAGTGTTATTGCTTGGTCTAACAGTGGCATGTTCATGCACTTTCATGTTTTATGGGGCTCAAATCCTGACCCTTGACAACATTCAGAGAAGGAGGACCCAACCGCCCCCCTACCCATCCCACCGTACCCTACCCTTCTCCACCCCACCCCATTTAATTACTCCATTGATGAAATTTTGAACAAACTGAACCAATTCTTGACGACACGAACTAGAAAAGCACCACGAATCCAGATAGACCCTGATCTAACCAAAATGAGAATCGTTTTCAAAGAACCTAGCTCGAGAGCTTCATTAGCCGAGGCCAAACACTTGCAAAGTGAGTCTAAAATCCTAAAAATTACAGGGGGATTCTCTTCGTTATCGAGTTCTTCCACTTCTCCACAGATCAAGCCATTGGGATCAACTTATGAAGACATTCCAAAACAAAGCTCGAATTTTTATCTCTATCTGTCACAATTAATTTTGAAGAAGCCTGCCGAGATCAGTTTAAGAAAGAGAGAGAGAGAGATTTTGTCTTTTTTTTGATGAAAAATGTGCGTTTTTCGACGTGGGCTTTGCAAGAAAGGGAGATGGAAGCAAAAGATGGTGACCCCATTATATGTCGAGAGTAAGAGCAAGAGAGCAACTAGAGAAGGTGGGTAAGAAGAAAAAAAGAGGGATTCAGAGCGTGACGAGTCTAGAGAGAAATATGTGAGGAGAGAGTTAGAAAGAAGGTATATTTTTTGATTTGTTTGGGTTAAAAGTTGGAATAAAAATAGATAAAATTAGTTGGCGGCTAGAAGATAAGTTTTGAAATTTTGGGTTTAGGAAAAAATGAAAGTTGAAAATAGAATCTATAGAGATATTTTCTCTTTTTTTTATTGCAACTTTTATCTAAACTAATTTTTATAACAAAGACCCCCAAATAAAAAATTCATAGTTTTGAAAATGAAAATACCATTACCCGTACACGAAGGTGTCACATTCCCGTAGACGCTCAAGCATCAAAGATGGTCCAACACATACTACTATTTGACCAGAACCCATACCACATTAACTGCCTATTTGACCAGAATCCATACCACATTAACTGTTGGACAACTTCAACAATCCGCCCGATTGGATGCAACTTATGCTAGATCGAGGCCTCATAGTGTTGGAGCGCTTTAGGAATTGCCGATCGTAGGCCTTGCAAGAAACACTGCCAGACTGTATTGAACATAATGCCGGACCGTATCGTAAATAGGCTGGACCATATGGCACATAATGCTGGACTGTATGACAAATATGCCGGATTTTCAAGTGCTGGACCAACAACATTCAACAACCAACTGCAAGAGTGAGGCGTGGACATTTCTAACAAGAGGGTATTTTGATCCAAAGAACTATGACTTTTTGAATTGGGGTATCTTCTGTAAAATTTATTTTGGGATAAAAGTTACCATAAAAAATTTGATTGGGGGAGATGGGCTAGAAAGTCCAATTTGAAGGTGGTACATGTAATTTTCCCATACTTTTTATCACTTTACCGTTGGTAAGAAGCATTTACAGTCTTTAGGGTTTTTCACTTCGATGAGGACCTCTACCACTAACAATTTCCGGACCACATGTATGGCTTGTGATTTTGGAGGAGTATATTTCTTTACCTAACGTATCATATCCATCTATGGCTATAACTCGAATTCAAAGCCCATGACAGTCGACACTAGCTAAAACACAAGTATCTTAAGTGTGCTTAAGAGATCAAGCCCGGCATTAACATAGACACACAATCATCTCAGTTACAGTGACAGTTTGAAGGAGCACAAGGTTGCTTCTCAACTTAAATACCAAACAAAGAAGAGAAGTCATATAGTACAAAGCTAGATTGGAGTGAGGATCAAAATTTTTTAAGAGCACCAAGACCAGTGTGAGGGATCACAGCCCTCTTGCCAATTCATCCACTCCTCCCCAGCCTCCATGCCACCATTATCGGCTGCAAAGTCCGGGGCCGAAATCTCATGGACCACATCAGAAATCCTTTCACACTCGAGATCCTGCAAGCCCAACAGCTCTTGCCTCTGGTTCTCTTCGTCACAGTATATTTTGAAAACCGGACAAAGGTCAGCATCAACATCCACGTCCAAGATCGAATCCTCGCAAAACAAGTTTTCATCGTCGTATGGCTCAAAATTCTTCACAGGCGAAGAGCAGTGTTGTAGAAGGCATGAGTTCTGAATCTCCGAGAAAGCAGCAGAAGCCTTTGCTTCCAAGGCCCCTTGTTCCGACTGGCTCTTAGAAGTGGTCAGATTTCGATTTGAAACCGAAGCTAATGACACATTAGCATTTTCATTACCACCACCACCACTAGAGATCAGGGATTTAGGCGCGAAAGGACTAAATTCTGGTAAATTGAGCCTTGCCGAGGTGCCATAGAGCTTACGAGAGGCGGTGTCATACGCAAGGGCAGCCTCTTCAGAGGTAGCAAAGGTGCCCAGCCAAAGCCGATCTCCCTTGTTGGGCTCCCTGATCTCAGCCACCCATTTGCCCCAAGTCCTCTGCCTCACCCCTCTATAGGCACATAAGGCATTTTCAGGGCCTCCCTTCCCCTTCATGCACCCCTTCTTTGAACCTCTTGAAGACCTCATTGCCATGAATAGATTGAATCACACACACACACACGAGAAAAAACACCATGAAAACAACATGTAATTTATCAGGTCCCTCTTCCTTCCTTCCTTGTTGGGCTTCTTGAAGGCCCAACATAGATTCTGAAAACATTTTGTCTGGTTTCCAAGAAGAGAGGGGTGGCTTGTTAATCTTGAAACAAGTGGGGAGGAGTGACACATGGATGAACAGGTGCTTAACAAGAGATCCTCTCCATGCCTTATGTGGCTGCTTTTGCTAATTTGTATGCATTAATCAAAGTAAAAGTGTTTAGGGTGGGCGTCATCATGTTGTCTGCGTTCTCGGTTTTGATGGGCCTAGGTCACTTGCCCTCAACTTTACAGAAAGTGAGAAAATTCTGGGAATGTACGTGTGAAGAGAGAGACTATGGCAGGGATTCAATTGTGAAAGGAGGTAAAATCTCTTCGGCTGGCAAGGGCCGGCAACCCGGACCTTTTGCGCTACACACTGTGGCCCGAGGGTCCAGCAAAGATTGCTTGGCTCAACCTGGCTTTAGTTTTTTTTTTTTTTTTTTATTATTCGCTTTATTTTGGATTGGCTCGGCCCTAACAGGGCCAAGGCCGGGCCTGGACAAGCCATTTAAGAATAAGAGTTGGGCCAGGGGCTTGACCCCGGCCACTGCCACCCTTGAATCTTGGAGAAGTAATTGAGAAAGCTCCCACACTGGATGTATTGTGTACATTTAATGGATGGTAGATGAGAAAGGGGCTTGGTTCGGGTGGTAGCACCTCCATATCTAGTTACGATGTTGTGGTTTTCAATCCGATGGACACCACACATCTTCACAAATCGAACTCCTAATCTATTTGAAGAAACAGGTCATTTGAAAAATATAAACCTGCCAAACCACTCGTAAAATAATGAAGTTGTTAAATTAATAATTTTCATAAATTACGGTTTGCTTAAAGCCCATAGGGTATCAAAAATTAAAGAATAAATTTGATACGCAACAATAAATCTAATTAAAGATACAACTTTGGTGAGGAAAAGTTCTACAATAGATTAAAAATCTATTTTTACTCCTTATTATAAAAATTGAAAGAGATTAAATGAACTATAAACATTTAAAGGTTTTTAGAAATAGACATGCTATTAATAATTGTGATATTTTTTTATCAAAAGTAAATGACCTCATTGTATATAATCCAATTCTTTTAGATAATGTGTTGCAAGATGAATTGTTTGTAGGATTTTAAAATTTGTATTTTTTTATTTTATCTATATATTTTGAGGTCGATATTTTCACATTCGGGGTTTTTTTAATGCCGAAGCATCCTTTTTTTAGTGAATTTTTGGGATGCACTTCACTTCTTCTGTAGACTACAAAATTGACGTCGTATGTAAACTTTTTTCTGTTGTTAATAAATGGTCCCGTGCTTGAGCACGTTATTACAAGTACTCGTGCTTGTTCTAAATTCTAAACTAGGGAGAGACATTACTTGGCTTAGGATACATAAGTCGAGGCAAATGATGTAAACAAAGATGCTCATTCTAGGTTTCAAACATAAGACTACATTTTAAATAATAATTATCATATTTTGAGTTTATAATAGAAAGAATATCTCTTTTTTTGTAGGCTTCATTTCTCAATAGATTCAGTTGGCAGCATAGAGATCCCAGTACTATACTTTCTAATTCCTCTTGAACAACTTTATCATTTTCTAATATACCTTTTTAGCCCCCCTCTCTCTCTTCCCATGTTTTTAAATACTGAGCTGAATATATGAGTCGAGTTGGTTCATCGACTTCATTTTTCCAAACATTTACAAAATAAAACTCCACAAAACAACTAAAAAAAAGAAAAGAAAAAGTCTATATAAGATTGCAATGTCGAATCAAAGATGCACCTCAAAAATCCATCAGAAAAGATAGTTTTAATGTTTAAAAACCCTCTAATTGATCATCTCGACATCGGGATGTATGAATATGAATAAAAAAAAAGAAGATTTTGAGCCTTAGATATAGTGCATTTTGCAACACATTATCTACATCGTCCATTTTCAAGTTTTTCATATGTTTATAGATCTACTTGATTTTAACTATTTTTGGAGTTTAAAGTTTATAATTAAGTATGAAAATAGATTTTGAGATAATCCTAAGAATTTTTTACACGAAAATTACATGTTATGCAAAAATTTGGAGGTGCGCCTTAATTGGAATGTTTAAGTTGCAACTTTATAGAAACCATACCCAAAAAAAAAAAGAGAAATAAACTAGAAGAGAGAGGCAGGGATTTAGAAATGATAAAAAAAATGATATCTTTTTAACTATTGTTTGAGTTAAAAAAGTGTGGTCAAAAGGATAAAGTTGGTCCAAGAGGTTAGAAAATATACTACATTTCAGTATTAGGAGCCAGAACATCCAGCTTCACAGGGAGAAGGAACTGTTCTAGATAACAATCAACTTCCAGTTGTCAAATAGACCCTAAGAATTAGCTTTTTGAAGGTGTTAGTAGGATGGTGTTAGTGGTGATTAGGGTATGGGGGGTGCCACCACCATGACAAATGGCAGGTATTTAACTGTGACTGGCAACCTGAACCTAAAATAGGTAAAGCTTGGGCTACAAATTGTGGCCTGAGGTCTGGGCTAAGACCTACCCAGTTCAACCTGGCCTGGCCTTTTTTTTCTCTATTGTTTTTTTTTTTATATTCGCTTTATTTTGAACTGGCTCGGCCCTATCAGGGCTAAGTCCAGGGCTAGCCCTATAAGGACAAGAGTTAGGCTAGGGTCAAAGGTGACCACGTCTATTGCCACCCTTAAATCTTGGAGGTGTAATATGGAAAGCTACTACATTGGAGTGTGGTGTACATTTACTAGATGGTAGATGGTGGTAGCACCCATACCTATTTGCCCCATTGTGGTTTCCAACTGACACTTAAAAAAAAAGCTAACTCCTAGTCTATTTGAAAAAATCGGTTGGGGACCTATCTTCTCTACTGAAAAAAAATAATAAAAAAAATAAAATAAAAAAAAATAAAAATAAAAATAAAAATAATAGTAGTAATAGTAATAGTAGTAATAGTAATAGTAATAATAATAGTAATAGTAATAGTAATAATAATAGTAATAGTAATAATAGTAATAATAATAATAGTAATAATAATAATGATAATAATGATAATGATAATGATAATGATAATAATGATAATAATGATAATGATAAT